AGAGGAGCAGGAAGGCTGACGTTTCGGGTTTCTGAAGAAGGGTCTAGGCCCGAAACGTCAGCCTTTCTGCTCCTATGATGCTGCTTGGCCTGCTGTGTTCATCCAGCTCTACACCTTGTTATCTCAGATTCTCCAGCATCTGCAGTTCCTACTATCTCTGCTCACTGTTACCTCTGGCATATTGCACTAACAGCACTTGTGGCACGGTGGCAGTGACTCTTCCTCTGGGACAGATGGCTGGGTTCAAGTCTCCTCCTGCGGCCGGAGATGTGTGAGCAGGTTATTGGAGCTAACTACACGGACCAAACTGTGGGAAAGCTGGGATGCGGAATGAGGCCAGCCTGGAGCTCTGAGTCCACTTCCAGCAGACTGAACCTGGAAAGTGTGGGACAGCCTAACACGCTGAGAAACAGCGACATCATTATCAAAGGGCTGTGTGTCTGTTACGGGGGAGAGGGCAAGGGTTGGACTGTGCCCAACTGGGGAGGCATTTGGTGTGATACTCCTGCATCGAAGTTGACAGGGGAGATGAGATGGATAGAAAGCTCTTCTTTTTCCTCTCTGCATAAAGCTGAACCACCGCAGTTTAATGTAGCTTGTGTGCATGTGGCTTAACGCCTCAGGCAACCCGAGGTGATTGAGCTTGCCCCATCAGAGCCTGGTTTCAAGGTGGTGTTCAGGGCAGAGTGAACAGCTGCGTCTAAAGTCGAATGAAAGGTACTCCGGAGAATGATGTCACCCTTCCTTTCATGTTTACATCTCCACCAAAGTCTGAATTACTTTCACAGAGTCCAGCACAAAGCGTCAGCCCTGCCTGCAAATTTGGATCAGCACACTGTGTTATAAAGCCTCAAAACGACTCTCTAGGCTGGACCAGGGTGCTGGTCAGGCATGTCCAATTTAAGATTAATTGTCCGAAATACGATATGCAATTATTCCAGCTTTCTCAGACAAATAAAAATGAAGCGAAACTGGCTGTTAAAGGATTCGCCACCATGTGTGTGACTGAGCCGACTGCGGTTCAAGTCACTTTCAAACGCTGTGAACCATAAATCAATGTTAAAGCGTGGAAAGAGCTCGACCCAGTAACTGACACCGTCCAACAAAATGTTCCAGATACACGTCAAACTGATGGAGCGCGTTTACTAAAAGAAAAACCTCGTTTAACGCACAAACAAACAAGGGCTGATCTGTAAGGAGAGAAACACGCTCTCTGCCGCTGATGGGCTCGGGTGTCTGGGGGGCGGTGGTGAGTTGGCAGGGGGTGGGGGGGTGGGGGCGGTCACAGACTCGGTCACACCAACTTTCGGTTTCAAAGGACGCGTGCAGCTTCCTTCCACATACCGGGTTCCCCGGCTGCAGCTCAATTTCAGTCCAAGGCTGAACTGATGATGCTGCCGAATGAGTCTGGGATCTGTGCTGTTTACACTGTTCATTAAAACCACCGCCTTAAAAAAAAGAAACCCTGCCCGATTTGTATTTCTCTCAACGATTGCATAATGTAAAGTTGCAGGAAGGCAAGGTCTTGAAGCCTGCTTCAACATTTGCTCAGTTTCTGTTTTGTTACAACACGTTAGTTTGAAATGTTCCTCCCCCCCACCCCCACTTTAATTTGTTGGCACTCAAACCGACTTCAGTGCCTGGGAGTGAGGTGCTGGGTCTGAGGGTGGGGGTTGTCAGTGTTTGCATGAAACCTTCCCTCCAGGGGTCTTCCTCATTCGTTCTACACCCAGCCCGTCCTCAGCAGAATCCCTGATTAACTTAAGGCGTGCTCTCTGGGGATTGGGAGACTTTGAGTCCCTGTCTTTGTGTGTCTATGGGTGTGTTTGGGGCGGCTTGTGGTAGTGGCACAGCCCCTATTTTGTCAGTCTCTGTTCGAACCTCCAAGCCCTCAGCATTCTAGAGAGAAGCGTTTTGCTCCCGGACGCCTAATTTTCACTGCAGTCTGCCCCTGCAAAACCCCTCTCCCACTTTATATTTTGGCCCTAAGCTCAAACGAGCGCCCCTTTTCCTTTTTACAGCAGCACTTTCTCCTGCTTTTAACCCCCAGCCCCCAGCAGCAACAACCCTGCAATCTGAGAAGAAACTGGAGCTCCCTTTAATGCAAACCGTATGTCTGTTCCCCCTTCTGCACGAACTGCCTTCCATATATTCCAGACGTCTCCTCCAAGTATTCGCGTCGTAAAACTTCACTGTGCAACTGTATGAAGGAATAAATATTTGCTCCATCGATTCACTTTGAAGCCTCTCTATTTTCTTCCAACTTTGCCCCACTCTAGGCTACAGACTTAAACCCACAGAAAGAACCTCCTTACCGTAACAGAAGTGACCATGGCATCCGTATGTTCCCGTGGATACACGCCGACATGAAGGTGTAAATATTGACTGGATTATGTGTATTCTTCTTTAAAAAAGAAAAACTTCAATTCTCTGAGCCGGAGCTGAACTGGCGACGGCTCATCTCCTCGATGAGTTTCAGTGACTGGATGAGTGTGAGTGAGTGAATGTGTGTGTGAGAGAGAGAGGCAGAATGTGCAGCTTACAAGTAGCCAGTCAGATTGCCTCTGTGCTCTGAGCATTAACACACAATCTGCCGTGACCTCTCCTCACGTTTGGCACCGGCTCCGACTGCCTCCAACTGGTACTGTCCTGGGTACTGATCGGCCGCACTGTCCCCCTCCAAAGGCGAACACAGCCACTTAGCTTTCCGGGCAGTTTTAATCATCGCAGAGCCAGCAGGTCGGCCGCGCTATGACTCGGAGGCTCCGCTAAGGATGAAGCGCCCTGCCTTTTCGCGGAGTTCCGAAGGTGCATCTGGAACCCAGTGCTGCCGTTCAGCGCTGTAGAAATGCGGGCTTTTTTGTTGCTTAATGGTTTCTGCAACCACACAATGAGAGAAACATGCAGTTGCTCAGCGAACTGCTGTCAACTCGCACATGAATCTCTGCGTCATTAACTTTATACCACAACGCTGAAGGCTACAGGGTTTGAGCCAAGTCTTTCACACAAACTATTATCCACTGGCATTTTCCGTGCTCTCATTCTCAGGCTATACTTCTCTGGTTTTCTTCCTGTATCTGTCTGTCTCGTTCTCTCGGATTCTCTTGCTATCTGGCTCTCTCTGGCTCTCTGCCTATCTCCGTCTCTCTTTCTCTCTGTGTGTGTCTCTCCCTGCCTCTCTTTTTCTGGTTCACTTCTTGTATCTGTCTCCCTCTCTCTCGATCTAACATTATCTGTTTCTTTCCAGCTCTGTCTTCCTCTTTCTCTGTTTCTCTCCCTATCTGTGAGAGTATTTTTCTTTCTTCATCTCTCTTGCTAGCTCCCTCTTTCTGGCTCTTTCCCAGTCTCTGGATCCCCCCCATCACTGTCTGTCATTCTGTTTGTCTTTCTCTCTCTTTGGCCCTCTCGCTAACCCTGTCTGGATCTGACTCTCTCCATATACCTGTCTCTCTATCTATCTTTCTCTCTACCCTCATCCGCTGCCCTCCCACTGGCTCTCCCACTATCTCTCACTCTCTTTCTGGCTCTCTATTGCTCTCTCTCTTTCTATGTCTCCCCCACCCGGTATCTGTCTCTCACTATCTCTGGCTCTCTATCTCTTTTTCCCTATTTCTCTCTCTCTGGTTCTCCTTATCTCTGTCTCTCCACCTTTATCTCTCTCGTTGAATCTCTCTCCCTCTCTGGCTGTGTCCCTATCTCTGTCTCTCTGAATCTGTACCCCTGTCTCTCTGGCTCTGTCCTATCTATCCTTTGCCCCTATCTTTCTGGCTGTGTCCCCATCTCTGTCTCTCTCTTTTTTGTCCCCCATCTCCGTGTCTTTTTTTTTCTCTCTCTCTGACTCTCCTGTTCTCTCTCTCCCTATCTGTGTCTCTCTCTGAATCTTCCCTTACCTCTCTATCATTTCTCTTTGTCCCTCTGTCAGTCTCCCTGTCTGCCTCTCTCCCTGGCTGTCTCCTTTCTCTCTTTGGTCCTCCTTATCCCTGTCTCGGTCTGTTTGTTTTTCTGTATTCTTCTGTTGGTCTGCCTGATTCTCTCTGGATCTCACCCTATCTCTCTCTCTCTCTGTCTTTCCCTCTCTGGTTTTCTTCCTCTCTTTTTTTCTCTCTCTCTCTCTGGCTCCCTTTCTCCAGATCTCCCTCTGAGTCTCTCTTTCTTCTTGACCCTCTCTCTCTCAATATTTCTGTATCTGTCTCTCACTGTCTGACTATCTCCTTGTCTCTGACTTTCTCACTCTCTCTCACACTATCTCTATTTTTCTCCCTCTCTGGATCTCTCCCTTCCCTTTCTCATTCCCTTTACATACTTCTTCCCTCTCTTCAGGTCTCTCTCACTCTCTCTTTCTGTGTCTCTCCCTTTCTTTCTTTCTCCCACTATCTCTCCCTCAGGTCTCTCTCCTTCCCTTTGCCTCTCTCTCTCTATTTGGTTCTCTCCATCTCTCTCCGTGTCCCTATCTCTCCGGCTCTCTCTCTCTCACTCTCTCTCTACTGTTTCTTGGGGTTTCTCGCTATGTCTCTGATTGCTTTTATTGGCCCTCTTCTCCCCTCGTTGTCACTCTTGTTTCCTATTTCTCTCTGAATCTTTGGCCTCTCTATGCCCACCTCTTACTGTCTCTGTCCACCTCTCTCTTTCCTTCTCTTGCTCACACTCACAAAAGAAGTCTGATTAAATGGCTCGAGAGACAGAGAGTGAATAATCATTCTCATTGATGTGTAGCTCAGTGCAGAGATGTTGAACTTAATTTGGTGCAGCCATACTAGCCCAATCATCAAAAGCATCACTGAACAGCCTTCTGTACCTTCTGTTTCCATTCTGCAGTTGGTGCTCCACTCATTTAGACTTATCATTTTACATCAGCTGTCCTAAGATGATGCTGAAATCTAATTTAAATAAGACCAAAAAATGTAGGAGCAGAAGTAGACCATTCAGCCCATTGAGTCTGTACCACCATTCAATGAGATCAAGGCTGATCTGATAATATTGCCATTTCACCATTACTTAATTCTTAGAAACCAGTCTATTTCAGTCTTGAGTAAGATTAACAACCCAGCCTCCACAGGCCTACAAAGTTATCGCAGTGAGAGTAGAAATTCCTCCTCAACTCTATCTTAAATAAGTGACCTTTACTCAGATTATGCTGTCTCTTCCTAGACTCTCCCACAGGGGAAACAACATTCCTGCATCCACCCTGTCAAGCACCCTAAGAATCTTACATTTTAATAAAGTTTTTGTCATTTTTCTGACCTTGAGTGGATATACCAACCTATTCAACACCTCTTTGTAGCAAACTCTATCCACACTCAGGATCAACCTGGTTCTTTTCTTCAGCACTGCCTCCAATTCCTGAATATCTTTAATTGGACAAGGGGACCAAAACTGTTCACAGTATTCCAAGTGTGGTCTAACCAATGCCTTGCCTAGTTTTAACAAGACTCCCTATTTTATCAAAAAGCTCAGCAGGTCTGGCAGTATCTGTGGAGATAAATCAATGTAACATTTTGGGTCGAGTGACCTCTTCCACAGGGTTGTGAGGAAAGGGTCACTTGACCCGAAATGTTAAGCCTGATTTCTCTTCACAGATGCTGCCAGACCTGCTGAGCATTTCCAGCAATTTCTGTTATTGTTTCTGATTAACAGCACCTACAGTTTTTTCAGTTCTTATTCCTTATCTTTTCACGCCATTCCCTTTGAAATAAAGGCCAACATTCCACTTGCTTTCCCTATCACCTACTGAATTTGTACCTTAGATTTTCGTAATTTATGCATGAAGCCACTCACATGCTACAACTTTCTGCAGTCTTTCTCCAGTTAAGTAATGTACAACTCCTTTATTTGTCTTGTGAAAGTACATTATTTCCCCAGCCTAATTCTCTAAGGACCCTATGTTCACATGGCCTCTCTCTTCCTTTTATATGTATTTAAAGAATCTCTTTTTGCCTGATCTGGCATTATTTGTGAGATTACCCTCAGAGTTTACTTTCTCCCTTTTTTTGGGTCATCTTTTGGTTTTTGGTTTTTAAAATATTCCCGATTACCAATTCCCAACTTTCCCATTGCCACTAATCTTTGCCTTATTGTATGTTTTTGTCTTTCAATTGAATGCTATATTTATCTTCCTTGGTAAACCATGATTGGTTTACCACTGTTCAAGAATCCTTCTTCCTTGGTGGAATTTTTTTTTCAGGGAGTCATGAACTATTTTCTTAAATGTCTGTCATTGTTCCTCAACAAACTTTTCTGCTCAACTCACTTCCCAGTTCACATAAACCAACCCTGTTTTAATTACTTTGTAATTACCCATATTTAAATTTAGCACAATTGTTTTCAAACCAACTTTCTTGCTCTAAAACTGAACACTAAATTCTACACGAAAAGCAGAAACTGCTGGCGAAACTCAGCAGGTCTGGCAACATCTGTAGAACAAAGCAGAGTCAACGTTTTGAATCCAGTGATTCTTCCTCAGGACCTCTACCCTGCCATGGTCACTGTTTTGTAGGGAATCGTTTACTCTGAAATCATTTATTAAACATAACTTATTACACATTACCGGATGTAAATTAGCCTGATCCCTGGTTGGATCCACAATATATTGTTTTAGGAAGCTGTCTTAAACACATATTACAAATTTTTCCTTAATGCTTACATGGCTACCTCTATGAATTTGATTTTCCCAATCTACATGAAACTACTTATACCCATGATCAATGATTGATGCCAGTATGGTTTAAGTGAAGCCCATCCATCTGGAATACCTCCCTTCTACCCAGTATTGGTGCCAGTGCCCTTCAGGGAGGTATTAACTAAAACGTGTTCCTGTCATGAACCTGGCTCAGTGGAAAGAGGCAGAGGGTAGTGGTAGAATATTGCTTGTGTGACTAGAGGCCAGTGTCCAATGGGTTACCACAGGTATCGGTTCCTTATTGTGCTTAATATATATAAATGGTATAGATAAAAATGGCGGGGGGGCAGCACAGTGGGGTGTTGGGGCTTTGGCAGTGATAAGTAAGTTGGGAAATATCACGAAGGTTGGCTGGATGATTAATAGTGAAGAAGAAAGTCTTATGTTACAAAAAGATACAGATGGGTTGGTCAGATGGACAAATCAGTAGCAGATGGAATTTAACTCTGATAAATGTGAGGTGATGCACTTTCAAAGTAGTAACAAGACAAAGGAATATTTAATAAATGGCAGGACACTGGAAAGCTCAGAGGAACTGAAGAATCTTGGGGTGTTTGTCCACAGATCCCCAAAGGCAACAGGACAGTTTAATGAGAGATAGTAGGAACTGCAGATGCTGGAGAATCCGAGACAACAAGGTGCAGGGCTGGATGAACACAGCAGGCCAAGCAGCATCATAGGAGCAGAGAGGCTGACG